AAATAGGAATAAGTTATCGCGCGCCAATCACGGCTCGCGGTGCGCGTGTCGCGCGTCGTGCCGGACTCGCGATGGGACTTCAGCTGCTCTGGTTAAGAATATGTTTAGTTTTGAAGTCTCTCATTGCGTTTAATATGTTTCTTTAGTTAATTCGTCGCCTTTGGATCGCCACGACCGCTTGAATCAATCCAAAAACAAGTAAATAGTGTCAATTAGCCGAGTTAGCGAGTACCGGCCGGGAGTCGGGAGGTAGCAGCGCGGACCACGGAGAGAGACTGCGCGGACCGCGGAGAAAGGCTTTAAATTTAATTCATTAATTACTTAAAAATTCTGCTAATTAAAGCAAAAGTAACTTGATTTCTCAATTCTAAATTAAGTCCGCATAAAGCATGCCGAGTTTTAAACCGGCACAAATAATATTTCAGGAAGAAAAGCCTATTTTTCGTTTTGGTCACGTGCGCCCAATTCCGGGAAATTTGCACTCCCCCTGCCTCCCGACTCGCGAGTGCCACCAAGCGACGCCTATATAAACGGGACGAAAACCGAGCCTAGCGTCATTTTTCCTTTGGCCAGTTCCAGACATAGGAAGTCATTTTTCCTTGAGCCGGCTAGTGCTTACAGTAGCGCGCGGTTCCTCCTACATTTCCTCGAGCCTTGAGCCGGCTGGCGCTTACAGTAGCGCACGGTTTCTCCTACTTTCTTTTGAGCCGGCTGGCGCTTACAGTAGCGCACGGTTCCTCCTACTTTCTTTTGAGCCGGCTGGTGTTTGCAGGAGCGCGCGGTTCTTCCCTCCATTACTACCAATCTCTCATTCACAAATTTCTTTTACAATAAGGACTATTAACCGCATTAACGACATAATAAAATTACTTTTCCGATAGAATGGCCAACCGCGTCAGTTTCAATGTAATCAGCGTGTCAATCAGATCTGTATTAAATAGAAATTCATCCTTTAATATGGCGTTATTTTCTGTTTTGCTTAATCCTCCTTCGTATCCTATCACTTAAAGGTATGAAGTGATGAAACGGCTCAATTGCTGGAAATAATAATAATAACAACGATAACGAATCTCTTGCTAAATGAACATTTTCCGATTTGACACTAAAGTCTCATTCATTATTGGAGTATTAAGCCTAATGGCGAGCTCAATAAAATTCTTAAATTACTCAATTGAATAAATTAACATGACGTTCTCATATAGAGAAAACTTTGAGTTCCAGTTGAAAGAATATTAATGAGTAACTTCAACTAAATTAGATCAAGATTTATAAGGGATTCCTACAGCATATACGATACGCCGGTGTTAGCGATCTCATGGTTTGCCGCTCGGCCTGAGTCGCGCGCATATTCTGATCATACCTCTCCCATTCTAATAAACACTCCGCCACTCTCCCAATCTTGTATCCTATGCACCGCCGCGCTGGACTGCTTTTCGCTCCCCACTCTGTATCCAGCAGCGACGCGGCCGCAAAATATAACGCAGGGATATTTATAAATATCAATATCGCACTCTTAAGTAATCGGTGACGGTGGCGGAACGCGGCAGAATTAAATTCGTAACATAATTGATAACAGCGGACCCGTATTGACCGGAATTCAATAATTCAGTAATTCAATAATTTGGAATCGTAAAAATAATTAAAAATAGTAATTGACAAGTTGCGCGATAGTTAGAAACGCAGAGAATTCCGCATAATGTTTTTGTTTCAATACGTTGCGGTGGGCGAGCCGAAACATAATTGGTAATCGGTGACAGCGGTGGAATATTACGCGAAGCCGCAGCAGCTTAATTCGATGATTTGGAAACGCGAAAATAATTAAAAATAGTAATCGGCCATTCGCGCGCTAGTTAGAAATCCAATAATTTCTTCTAAATGTCTTGTTCGAA